ACACTCCAAAGAATGAACATCAAGAAACCAAAGCAGTGAATGACATATCTCTGTCTTGCCCTGCTGGAAGCATGATTTGGACCAAAAGATTATGATATATTCATTTAGTCCACTACCTGATATACCTCTCAAAATATATACCTTTCCCATATTCACTTGGTATTAAATGCTGAATTTCCACTGTTCTTGGAGATCTTTATACTCCTCTTCACTGTCTGCTAAAATATCTGTGGAGGGATTGCTTTCCACCTGCAATACAGTTGCTCTTGTCCAAACCCTCAAATTTGCCTTGGCTTCAGATATGGATGCTAATCCCAGAAGCAACACAAGGCTTGCTCTGATTTGTTTGCCACACATACTGTTTCATAGAATCTTTTCTATTTGTTTTGTAATCATTTGGATATATTATAGTTTCTTTTCTATGTATTTTGTAATTGTTTGGACATATTGGTCTTTGACTTTCTTTTTCTTGCCTGCCTAGAATAGTTTTATCTGTCTTTTGTTGGTGAGGTTACAACTTTAAGTGATTTTGTGACAGTTGAATGTCAAAGATTTTCTTTAATATTAGCCCTTATAATTAATACACAGAAATCTGTTGCATTCCTGTATACTAACAATGAATGAATAAGCAGAAAGAGAAATCAGGAAAACAACTTCATTTACAATTGCATCAAAAAGAATAAAATATCTAGGATAAACCTAACCAAGGAGGTGAAAGACCTATACTCGAAAAACTACAAGACAGTCATGAAAGAAATTAAAGAAGGCACCAATAAATAGAAATACATCCCAAGCTCATGGATAAGAAGAATTAATATTGTCAAAATGGCCATCCTGCCTAAAGCAAACTACAGATTCAGTGCAAACCCTATCAGAATACCAACAGCCTTTTTCAATGAACTAGAACAAATAGTTCTAGAATTCATATGGAACCACAAAAGACCTTGAATAGCCAAAGCAATTCTGAGAAGGAAGAATAAAGCTGGTGGGCATATACTCCCTAACTTCAAGCTCTACTACAAAGCCACAGTAATCAAAACAATTTGGTACTGGCACAAGAACAGACCCATAATCAAGGAAACAGAATAGAGAGCCCAGATATAAACCCACATGTATATGGTCTATTAATATATGATAAAGGAGCCATGAATATACAATGAGGAAAAGACAGCCCCTTCAACAACTGGTGTTGGCAAAACTGGACAGCTACATGTAAGAGAATGAAACTAGATTATTGTCTAACTCCATAAACAACAATAAACTCAAAATGGATCAAAGACCTGAATGTAAGTCATGAAACCATAAAACTCATAGGATCTCTTGAACAAAAACATGAGCAACATTTTCCTGAACACATCTCCTCAGGCAAGAAAACAAAATAAAAAATGAACGTGTGGGACTACATCAAACCAAAAAGCTTCTTTACAGCAAAGGATACCATCAGCAGAGCAAAAAGGCATCCTACAATATAGGAGAATATATTCACAAATATCTTATCCAATAAGGGGTTAACATCCAAAATGTATAAAGAAATCACATGCCTCAACACCCAAGAAACAAATAACCTAATTAAAAAATGGGCAGAGGATCTGAACAGACACTTCTCCAAGAAGAAATTCAGATGACCAATGGGCACATGAAAAGATGCTCCACATTGCTAATCATCAAGGAAATGCAAATCAAAACCACAATGAGATATCACCTCATACCAGTTAGGATGGCCAACATCCAAAAGACAAGAAACAACAAGTGCTTGTGAGAATGTAGAGAAAGGGGAACGCTCCTACACTGTTGGTGGGAATGTAAATTAGTTCAACCACTGTGGAAAGCAATATGGAGGTTCCTCAAAACACTAAAAATAGAAACACCATTTGACCCAGTAAGTCCACTTCTAGGAATTTACCCAAAGAAAACAAAATTCCCAGTTCAAAAAGACATATGCACCCTTATGTTTATTGCAGCACTATTTACAATAGCCAAGATATGAAAGCAACCTAAGTGTCCATCAATAGATGAATGGATAAAGAAGATGTGGTACATAATAATACATAATGGAACCATATTCAACCATAGAAGAAAATAAATCCTATCATTTGCAACAACATGGATGGAACTAGAAGGTATTATGCTCAGTGAAATAAGCCAGGTAGAGAAAGACAAGTTCCAAATGATTTCACTCATTTGTGGAGTGTAACAACAAAGCAAAACTGAAAGAATAAAGCAGCAGCAGACTCACAGACTCCAAGAAGGGTCCAGTGGTTACCAAAGGGGACAGTAAGGGAAGGAGGGAGAAAGGGATTAAGGGGCACTATAATTCACAATCATAATATAGGTGGGTCGTGGGGAAGGCAGTATACAACACGGAGAAGACAAGTAATGTCTCTATAGCATCTTACTATGCTCACAGACAGTGACTGCAGTGGGGGCGGTGAGTACTTGATAATAGGGGTGAATGTTGAAACCACAATGTTGTTCATGTGAAACCTTCATAAGATTGTTTATCAATGGTACTTTAATAAAAAAAGAAAAAGGAAGAAAAAATATATTAGCCCTTATGTTGCTCAAAGCACCAGTGGTTTGACACCCCTGGTCATGAAATTTTGCACTTCAAAACATGTATAGATTCAACTAATGATTTCTCTCCCATAGAGGCTTACATTGCAAGTGGGCACCATTAAAATTTCAGTTTCACTTGCAGAGAAGAATCATCCTTTGAAGAGAGTATGATTCTAGAAGGTAAATCTTAGCTCTGTAATAATCTGGTAGCTTGTAGATCTTTAATGAGGCAATGAGTGTTCCCTTTAAATTTCTTACCAATATTTAATTAACTGAAGACATTTAGCACTATGGAACAAGTCAACTGGCTTTAACTCTGAACACACCCAAATTTCCAAATCCTGATTATGTAATACATGTCTGGATTATCTAGCTTGTTGTGGTATGTTCAGATCTTTGCTCAATATAGTGAGCTGGGTTGGAAGAGTAGGGTCATTGGAGACAGTGAGACCTAGGCTCAGCATTCAGCTTTGCCATATGCCAGCTCCAGTTGTTTCATAAGTCACTTAACCTTTGTCAGCCTCCTTGTCCTCAGCTGTAAAGCAGTTGTAATCACATGTACCCCCAGCGCATGTGAGGATTAAATGAGATAATGTACATAAATTGTCCAAATATTATGTGGCACATAGTGGGTGGTTAATAAATGTGGGGTCCACTTTCCTTCTGTTGTCTGTGCTTTTTTTTCCTTTTTGCATCTAAACTAGCATAGAAAAGTCCTGGGCTTAATTCTTGGGTCACTCTTTATAATCCTAAAGGATGGAGAGCATTTGTAGAATGTATTATGTAAGCATATTTTACTTCTAAATCCTCACTGCAAGGGTAAATACTACCAGTCGTAGGAAAAGGAGGAAGAAAAGAAGCGAATGTTTAGAAAAAACAAAAAGGGAAGAGAGCAAAAGGGACAGGAAGAGGAAGTGATAAAGGAAAAGAGTAGAACATCAAAGAACCCCCTAGGCAGGGGATGGTAGTATTGTAGAAAAATCATAGGCCTCAGAGCCAGGCAACTGCATGGCACAGAGCAAAGACCACGGGCAATGCGATGAAACAGATGGTGTTCACAGCCTGGCTTCCCAGTCATTAGTTATGGGACCTTGAACAAGTTTCTTCACCTCTGGCACTTCAGTTTCCAAATGAAAGAAACAACAGCCAAATTTAGAGTGCTTCCCAGGTGCCAGCCCTCGTCTGTCCATTTAAGTTCTCACCACAGCCCCGTGTAATGTACAGCACTGTGACGAGGAAACTGGCTGAAGGTCATAGTTAATATTCGCTCCAGATCACAGAGCTGGGACTTGCCCATAGATAGCCTGGCTCTGGAGCTCGCACTTTAACCATTGCACTAGAGCTGCATTTGTCACAGGGCTGAGGAGGACATGAGATGTCACTGTGAATGGGCCCACACAGGACCTGCCCATATTATGTGCTGGTACAAATGCTCCTGACCTTTCCCTGTTTCTCTTCCCTTCTCCTTGGCTGTCTTATGTTATCCAGGTGGGAATTAACTTTCTGGAAATTTCCATCTGATTAAATGGAACCTGCTGCTCCAGAAGCAAGCTCCAATGTAGCCTCACCTCAAATATATTCGTGTCACAGTTAAACAAGTCAGGTTTGGTACAAGCCTGTTTTCAGGGGTTGCTTCTATTGATTCCACCCTAGCTGTACATCAAAACAAATCAGATATTTCAGACACACACATGCACACACACACTCTTACACACAGGAGCTGATTATTCTGATTCTTTTCAACTATGTTTGATGGACTTTCTCAAAAATTAAATCAGGTCATTTGACCATTGTCTTACAGACTGGTAATTATGTCTTCTGTTAGTTCAGCCTGCATTTCAGCCTCAAGTCAATAATATTGCCTGATTTGTTCATTTGTTCATTCATCATTTAATAAAGAGTTATTGGAGCCTGTTAACATCCGAACCCTGTGTTAGGTGTGAGGAATATAACATGAATGAGATAGGCCTTCCTTTCAAGTCAATCATTGTCTAATGGTCATATAACCAGATAATTATACCACAACATGGTAAGTCCAGGAATGAAGATGAGCACAAGATTTAATGTTTGCATTCTATATTTTGACATGATCAAAAGTTTTCCTTGTGATTTATATCTTCATTTTTCTGCTGAGAATTCTTTCTGCATTCTAACAAAAAATAACCACAAATATTTTCTTTGAGTTATTTTATTAATACATATTTTAAAAGTAAGTTAAGAATCTAATTTCCTCCTTACCATTTTAAAAAACGTGTTTTTAGGGTAACCTTGTGCTCTTTATGGCCAAAGATAAACACATTTATTGTTTAAGAAAAGAAAAAGGAAAAGCTGGGGTACAAAGAAAACTGAAATTGTCCTGTATTCCTGCTCTTCCAGAATAACTTATTAAATCAACCAAGTGACTTTTAAAGGTTTCATGTTGTGTGAAATATGTTTTAAAACAGAACCCACTGGGATGTTAGATGTCTGGTATACGAGAAAGCACATTGACTACAAGAGACAACAGATTTCTCTCTTCTGGAAGGTACGTTTACAGTGTCAATTTAAAATTCAGAAGATTTATATACTTGGGCTTTTGTTTTCATTCATATATAATTGACACAAAAGGAGAATTATATATTTAAATGGAAAGTTTCAAGGGCAGAAAAAGACCTTTTATGTCCATAGTGGCTTCGACATGAGGCTTTAGAGACTTTGTTGGAGCTCATTTTCTCAGCCACATTCTCAAGATACTTGACCAATGGCATTATTTTTGCCAACTAAGGGTGGGAGTTCTGACTGAGTTCCCCCTACACAATGGCATCTTCTCTTTACCCACTTCCAGTTAGATCCAGGTTCCTTCCCATCCCCAAGCATGCTACCCTCTGACCCCACTGTGCCCTCTCTTCTGACCCTTGTCCCCTCTACCACCCCTACCTCTCCCACATGTAGCATGCCCAGCAGGGACGATGCCACTTCACTAGCCCACTGTTTAGCAAATTGAAGATGGGAAATCCGTGGATGTGAATATTTAGAAATACATTTTCTATAGTCATTGAAATGAGAGATGATGGAAAAAAAGCTATCCTCCCTCAGGAACCCTAATAATAGTAGAACGTAATATGTGTGGGAATAGAAAGCAGGTCTTCCTCAGAGTAGTGGTAGAGCAGCAGTGAACTAAACAGCCTTCCAGAAAACAATGAGGCTTAATATTACCATAGGTTGTGAAAGTTTCACAACTGTCCCCAAAGTCACCCTGCTACCAAGTGCAGAGCTGGGACTGAAACCCCATCCAGAACTCCCGCTGCTGCATCGTGACTCATCTTTGTGGAAACAAAATACCAACTGAACTGAGCTACTCACTGGTGTGCTTATAATAAGAGGTTTTCAGGTGAGCTGTGCTCCTCTTAATTTCCCAAAACCTGCATCCCTCTGACTGTACCTCTTCCAGTTAAGGGTAAATAAACAGTTTTGAAATTATGAAGCTGATGAACATGAAACCAGAAGAGTCAGAATAATGAATATAAAGTCCTCTGATGGGGCTAACATGATAGATTTTGATAATTGCAATCTTCATTTTTAAGAAATGAGCCTGGCAAGAAATGGGCTTCCTCCCTGTTTTTCCTTTCACACACACAAAATGTCTGGTGTAAGAGGAGACTACTGTAAATAGCTTGGTGAGTCATAATCAAGCTCTTCACTTTGAAACTAAAACTGTAGCTTAGAATTTGATTCAAAATGAAGCCATTTTTTAATAGCAAGACAATTCTCAAAGCAAGTCATTTAGAACAACTGTAATTTGGGAATATTATAGAAGAACCCAGCTCAGTTCTTGGCTATTGGTTTTCATCTTTGCATGTAAGTGACCAAGTTCCCTCTACACAATCTCATCTTTACATCATCCTCTTCCAGTTAGATCCAGGTTCCTTCCCATCCCCAAGCATCTGACCCCACTGTGCCCTCTCTTCTGACTCTTGTCCCCCTTGCCACCCCTACCTCTCCCACATGTAGCATGCCCAGCAGGGACCATGCCACCTCACTTGTGAACTGTGTAACCAAAATTCCTCCTCCCCAAATGTCCTCAACAGTGATCTGAAAAGATAAGTTGTTTTAGTCTCATTTCACTCTGCTCTAGTCCAGTATTCCTTTCTTTAGAATAATGGTAATCATACTGGGATCTGAGTAGTAGACAAGACCATTGCAGGGATCTGTCAATGAGAGGGCACAATGTGGGAAAACCACTGTGGTCATCAAGGAAAAACTAAACAGTGCTATAGTGTGAATTTTTATCCTGACACTGAAAATAACACACCCAGTGCCATGCCTGTTTGCTTCTCGGTGTGACAAAAAGAGTTTAGAACAGGTGTGATTATGGTACACTGAAACCAGCTTCAGAACAAGGTCAAAATATACATCTGTTAGCCACAGATAATGCTTAGCAAAAGAGCAGGAGCTAGAATTCTTCTCTGCTCCTCATTTTGATCTTGTCCTAATCTTCACAAAGCTTAGGTTCTAAAATGAGGTACTAGAATCCACAGGGAGTTTAACTGTCTTCTGATCCACCCTTCTTCTCATAAACATCACTCCCACTCCAGCCAGGGCACACAGATGTCTCTGCTGGGACCTTCTGGGACAGGGAGAATTCCACTTTGTAAGCAGTCCATGCCGTGATGGGCATCTCTTATTGTAAGAAAATCTTTCCTCTGCTGGAGCCAGAACTGTGAGTGTTTTGGGCTAGAACTGGCTTGAATAAGAAGCCAAACGTGTAAATACTAGAAGCTTCTACAACTTGGCACCAGATGGTGAGCATGACAGGGCACCTTCAAAATCTTCAATGATTGGCCAGCCCAAGGGGAGGAAAGTTCCATCTAGTCCTCAGTTTTTCAGAGCTGTTACAGGATTAAGGCCTTTCCTGCTAAATCCCGGACTTCTTCAATGGCCCCAAAATGGCTACTCACCTGGGAGTGTGCATAAAACACTGACCAGAGTTACGGGGATGAGCAGGCCAGCTTTGGACTGCAGAACCACAGAACCACAGACCTCTAAAGCCAGTGGGAGTTTAACCAGCATGCAGCCCCTCTACTAGTTTTATGAATTCACAAACAGCCTAGGGAGGTGAAGTGATTTCTAGCGAGAGGATTTTAGGTGCTCTGATGCTTGCTGCTAAGAGCCTCTCACACAGAAATCACTACCCCTTCTGTTTGGACCACTCCTGTCCTCATGCAGCTGAGGACTCCTCATGCCACTGTCAGGCTGGTGTGGGAATCTGGCAGGATGGTACCCTGCTACAAGGGACTCATCTAAATGTCAGGCTAGAGAGAAATGCTCAGCCATATCAGGTGCTTTGTCAGCCAGGTCAGACCTCACTGGGGAAAGAAAGCAAATATATGTGGATTGTTTTCTGTTTTTTTACTCTGATCAATTTTGAGAAATCTGCTGAGAAGGACCCCTACCACTGCAGAGAGGGGATTTCAGGTCTTGGCACCAAAGGAACCCCCAAGTAAAGCCCTATTAGCCTATGAACGGAGTGAATGTTTCTCTTGCAGCTGGGGAAATTGAGCTTTCATTTTTGTGGGATGTTTATATTGGAGAACAGCTAGGTGCTGCATGGGTACAGCCCCTGTGTTGGGGGTGAGTATGTGTGTGAGTTGTGGGTGTGAATGTATATGAGTATGTGTGAATGTGCACGTATGTGATATGTGTATGTGTGTTGTATATGTGTGCATGAATGCAAAGGGTATGTATGTGTGCATATGTGTGTGAATGTGTGTGAGTTTTTATATGTGTGAAGAATGTGAGTGGTTTAGTCCATTCTTGATGCTGTAACAAAATACCATAGACAGGCAGGCTTAAAAACAATAGAAATCCTTTTCCCACAATTTTGCTGCTGTCCAAGATCAGGATGCTAGCATGGTCAGGTGAAGGGCCTCTTCTATGGCACAAACTTCTTTCATCTTCACATGGCAGAAGGAGCTGGGGAGCTCTGTGGGGTCTTGTGTAAGGGTACTAATCCCATTCACGAGGGTTTCACCCTCCTGACTTAATCACCTCCCAGAGGCTCCACATCCTAAAACCATCACATTAGGCTTTAGGATGCCAGCATGTAGATCTTGGGGACACACAAACAGTCAGACCACAGGTGTGGGAGATTTGTATGGGGGGTATATGCGGGTGTGAATGTGAGTGTATGAGTGTGTCGAGGGTGAAGAAGACCTTTGCTTTGTTGTTTTGATTCCCACATAATTACTCATTTTCCCACACCATGGTTTCTCCGGAAAACTCCATTTCCTGAAAAATATCCTGTACTATTTTTTGCCATAGCTGTTTTTAAGAGAAAAAAATGCTTTCTATGTTGAAGCCAAAAAGTACAGCCTAATCTATGAAATAAAATGACACCTGGGTATTGCCAGAACAACAAACATAATAACAAGCAGAAAACATTGCTCTGCCACAAACAGGCCAGAGCTGTGTTAGAGCCCTTCACAGGGACTTTAGCAATCTTCCCCCTCATCATCTCCTTCTGTGTAAAGCCTCATGTTATTTCCTTTGCTTTAATTAAGCACTTTAGTCAGTGATTCCAATATACTTCTCTTCCAGTTAGTTCACTGTGTATCCTTTAAGAAGAACACCACCTTGTATAGATATAGATAAGGATAACATAAAAATACAGGGATGGGGTAAAGCCATGTTAACTTCTCCAGTTCCTTTCACTGTCTTGGTCATAGCAAATCACAGACTTTCTGAGGTCATGCATTTAGAAGAGAAATATCTGTATAAATGAAGCTGATCCACTCCATTCATTCATTTAAACAGATGTATTCAAGCCCCTTTTTAGTACAGATCACTGGGCTGCATGCCAAGGATATGGAAGTGGACAGGACAAATCCAGTCCTCACGTTCTGGAGCTCACAGTCCAGCAGGGACGATAGAAGTAGGAGTGGGGATGATGGGGACACTCAGGTATTAAGGAGCTCAAGGTTCAGCTCAGGGAATGCTGGTTGGGGTCAGCCAATAGGGCAGGGAGGGGAATGGGAGAGGCATCGGAGAGGACCACTCAGAAAGCAGTCCTGGAGCTGACCTCAGAACAGGTTAGCCAGGACAAGGGTGGGAGATCATTTGGCAGAAGACCTTCTGGAGACTGTGGGTTCAGCATGTGAAAGGTCACTGTCATGAAGTGCCTTCTCACAGAAATATAAAGCAAGCCACAAATGCAAGCCACGTGTATAATTTAAATTTTTCTCATAGTCACATCTAAGAAAATAAAAAGAAACAATTTTAATAATATATTTTGCTTAACCCAAATGTATCTGGAATGTTATCATTTTAACATGTAACTAATATTGAAAAATTATTAATGAGCTCTTTTATAGTCTTTTTTCTTCCTACTAAGTACTTAAAAACCAGGATGTCTACCAAGCTCCAGTTGGGTAGAATGGCTTAGAGTTTGCTCTCCAGAGAGCAGCCCATCTCAGGTCAGACTAGCCACACTTCAAGGGCTCCATGGCTTCCTGCTGTTAGTGACTCTCTCTTGTAATTCACGCATAG